CGCCCGTAAGCGGCCGCTATTTGCGTCATTCCGTCCCGATTGGCTCTCGTCTCTTCCATTTCTCCTTGAGACTTTTGTACGCGGCGTCCAACTCGATGTGACGGTTGATGCACGATTCATCTGAGTGCATGGCCTCAAGGAATTTCCAAGTTTCTAAGGAGCAGCACATGCAGTTTTGCCGAAACCAGCTTCCACTTTACTTGTTTGAATCTCTGAACGAAACCATCGCGTGTGTCTCACAACTCGAACGACAAAGAAGAAGAGTATCTTAGACAAAAAGTGGACGATCATTTCTCATAAAACTGATGCAAGCCAGAAGTGCCCGGCGAAGGTCGTAAACCTATCCTCGAGAATTCTGACATCATCGGAAGAGAATGTGCTTTCTAAAGGGATGAAATGCAATCTTTCTGATTCAAATTACTTGGACTTCCTCGCAAATTTGAAATCCATCATAGCAACCGCAGAGCTCACAGAAGAGGAAAGATTTACAATCCGAAACACGACTGTAAACGCCCTGAAAGACCAAAATCAGTTTACAGTACTATCACGTGAAGAACAGAAAGCATTAAGAGCCCTGAGAAATGACAAAAATATTATCGTTCTCCCAGCTGACAAAGGTGGCTCCGTTGCTATTTTGAACAAAGCAGACTATAATGCAAAGATGCTATCATTGTTGGAAGATGGATCAACTTATAAACCACTTCCCGCGGATCCTACCAAAGCACAGATCTCTTCTATTGATAAAGTGTTGAAGCGCCTCACCGGGAAAAAACAACTGTGGGGAGAAATTGCTAAATACCTGAAGCAAACTGAACCCACCATTGCTAGGATCTATGGACTACCCAAAGTCCACAAAGCTGAGGTGCCTTTACGACCGATAGTATCGTTGATCGGGACACCTAACTACAAAATTGCAATGTGGCTCTTCCACAAACTTCATCCACTCACTAGGAATTGTGAAACGTCGATTAAGAACTCTACAGAGTTTCTAAAGAAATTAAAAGGAATCACAGTTTCCCCCGACGAGATGATGGTCTCCTTTGATGTCGTCTCCCTCTTCACGTTCATACCGTTGGATTTGGCAAAACAATGCACAGAGGATCTCCTGAAGTCCTGCGACACGGATGTTCCCGCTATTGCCTTACTCGAACTCTTAGACCTGTGTATGGAAACCAATTTTTCGTTCGACCAACAATACTACCAACAACTGAAAGGAGCCCCAATGGGGTCACCTATCTCTGGCTTCCTCGCCGAGATCACAATGCAGAAACTGGAGGCCACGGCTCTTCCGTTAGTTAACCCTAAATTGTGGCTGCGGTACGTGGACGACACATTTGTGATCGTTAAAAAGGATCAACTAGAAACGCTCCACAACATCATTAACTCAACAATGCCGGGGATTAAATTCACACTCGAGAAAGAAGTTGACAAAGAACTCCCATTTTTGGATGTTCTCGTGCAGCGGAAGACCGACGGGACATTGCGCACATCAGTGTACCGCAAAGAAACCTATGCGGAAATCATTCAACACTACGAGAGCTACCACCCCATTTCCCACAAACGGAGCACGGTCAACTGTCTGCTTAATCGGGCAAAAACACACTGCTCGGACGAAGAAGGCTACCGAGCCGAACTAAGTTACTTGTGTGAATTATTTTCCCGAAATGGGTACCCCAAGGATTTTGTGCGCCGATGCATGAGACAGAAAGAGTCAAAGGAAAGGGAACAAAGAACCTCCAGTCAGACACCGAAGCCAAATACATGGCGAACCCTCCCTTACATCAAAAACGTGTCTGAACTCGTGGAAAGGCACCTAAAGAGACACCAGATTCGGGTGGCACACAGACCGACGACTACACTACGTACTCAGATAGTACATCCTAAGGATAGGGTCGACTATTTGGATAGAAAGGAAGTCGTCTACAAGATCCCATGTGAGGCCTGTGATGCAGTTTATTGTGGTCAAACAGGAAAAATCCGCCTCTACACGCATTCACGAACACCAACTTGCAGTAAAGAGGCGAGACCACTTGTCTCAAGTAGCCATGCATAGCTTGGACACCGGGCATACGTTTGCTTGGGACAGAACACGGATTGTCGGTGCCTGCCCCTTCAAGAAAGGCCGAGAGTTCCTTGAGGCCATGCACTCAGATGAATCGTGCATCAACCGTCACATCGAGTTGGACGCCGCGTACAAAAGTCTCAAGGAGAAATGGAAGAGACGAGAGCCAATCGGGACGGAATGACGCAAATAGCGGCCGCTTACGGGCGCAAATGCGAACGATTATAGATTTTTTCATGTGCACTGCCAGATGTTAAATGTTTTCGGCACATTTACTTTCAGTCTGCGTCTGACGACGACCTGGGGAACCGGCGTCGAAAATTCACGCAATAAAGTACCTTTTCCCAAAGAACGCCTCTGCCTTCAACTTATATTTCTTGGGATGCCTACCTTCCAATACATATATATATATAGGCAGAATGATATTACAGACAAAGACAAGGGAGACTGGAATGGCCATTTCTGGCTTATTAGCCGTCGTCATCCAGCCATACCCAAGCCCGAAGTGTGGAACACCCCGAGACTCGAACTCGCGACCTGTTGGTTTAGAAGTCAACGCCTCTACTCACCGGGCCACGAGCCCGTTGCCTTGTCGGTTTTCGATCGGGAATATACAGTGTTAGGGGGGGGCGCTCACCGATCGTTCATACGGAACTCACTCTTTCCGTTGTGCCTTATGGACTATCTCCCGATCGAAAACCGACAAGGCAACGGGCTCGTGGCCCGGTGAGTAGAGGCGTAGACTTCTAAACCAACAGGTCGCGAGTTCGAGGCTCGGGTGTTCCACACTTCGGGCTTGGGTATGGCTGGCTGACGACGGCTAATAAGCCAGAAATGGCCATTCCAGTCTCCCTTGTCTTTGTCGGTAATACTATTCTGCCTATATATCATGCGCCGCTGTGCGGCTGCTGGTTGGGCTCGAGAGAGAGTCCATAAGGCACAACGGAACGAGTGGGTTCCGTATGAACGATCGGTGAGCGCCCCCCCTAACACTATATATATATATATATATATATATATCGCCTTCATCATCTCCTGAAGAAGACGAAAAAGAAGAAGAGAGGGCGAATCCGTGGACCATATTGTATTCGAACTGACGTTTCGGAAACTTCCTCGTTTCCATCATCTGATTAGCGTAATTATTGCACTTGCGTGTCTTGAGTTATTCAGTCTTGCCGCTTGCCTCGTACAAACAAATAAAATGCGCTCCTATGGGATCCCCTATATCAGGCCTAATCGCTGAAGTAGTTCTTCAACGGGTAGAACACCTAGTGTTCACCAAGTATCAACCAAAGTTCTGGTCCGCTATGTCGATGACATTTTCGTCGTTGTCAAAACAACTGACATTGAACACCTAAAGGAACTACTGAACTCGGTTGATCCGAATATCCAATTTACGATGGAAGCCGAAACAAACAACCAACTGCCTTTCCTTGACGTACTTGTACGCCGGTGTACCACTGGACAGCTGCAAACTACACTATTCCGAAAATCCACCGACACAAGACAGATCCTACACTTCAACAGCAACCATCCTCTGTCTCACAAGCGTAGTTGTGTCCGCACTCTATTCCAAAGAGTCGAAACACATTGCAGCACGCCAGAAGATAAAATGACCGAACGATTGTACTTTGTGAACCTATTTACACCCAATGGTTTTCCCAGGAATTTCATCGAAAGAAGCAGGCGTTGGGCGCCCAGACGACGGCCAAATGATCAGCAACCCGAAGTCTGGAGGACCATTCCTTACGTTAAAGGGGACCCTGAAGCGGTGTTACAACACACCAGAGTAGGCATAACACATCGACCACAAGCAACAATTTAACCTCGCCTGATGCAACCTAAGGATCCATTGCCACCCGCCGAAACCTCAGCAGTCATCTACAAAATAAATTGCAATGAGGGCGACTGCAACTATGTGGGCGAAACCGGGCGGAAATTGCAAACTCGCCTACAAGAACACAACTCGGCCACTCGGAGGTTAGACCCTAACTTTCAACTAACAACACACGTTGTAGAAACGGGGCATACTTTTGACCTCAAGAGGGCTACCATCTAAGGCCGAGACAACACAAAAACAGAACGGCTTACGCTCGAGACGTGGTTCTCCGATGCCCACTATATCAACAGGCATATGGACCTTCCTGCAGCTTACAAAGTCCTACGTCATCACAATCGCAGAGCTCAGGACCAAACAACTACACCGGACGTAAGAAGGCCACACGGAGATAGCCCGAGGCTGAGCTTACTCGGTGAGAAAGACGAAGGAGCGCCAGACCGACCGCCCGACTAAAGTCCAATCAGCTCCCCTCGACGAAGTGGTGACTCACAAAGCACACAGGCAAAACGCCCGTCAACCATCTCCCGAGAGGCCGAGGCAGCGAGAGGAGGGAGAAATCGATCAGCATGCGGCCAGCCAACACAACGTGCCACTTGGAATTTCTGATCGATTAAGTGCATTTTACGCTTTGACAATGAAGAGCCGACCCAGCTCTTTGAAACGTCAGCACTTAAATAAACCTGTTCCGGAGAGCCTAATTTCATCGTCAGACAATATAGATCCCTGTGGTAATATTCGCGAATACTGCGTGACAACATGCAACGGGTACTATGGAAAAGGAACTAGTACATATTTCATGCATTATTTCACTAGGCATCGTAGCCTCTTGTTTTCAATAGGCTGATAGTCCAAGTTGACAAAAAGTAGCAGCGGGTGTGTCTCTACTATGTATAATGGCAGGCAAATCATCAACTAAGTGCGCGTTTATTCGCTCCAATTCAATTGTTGTTAAACAAACATATTTTTCACTTTACTCGAGCATTCATGCATTGTGATGCCGACATTTAAAGCGAATCCCAAAACTAGTGTGATGGCACTCATAGGTGCAATTCTAAATTGTTGCAAATTGAGAGATGCGTGGGGTTAGTAAGCGCTGGTGTGTAGTTAGCTTGTATATACAATCTTGTTGAATTCCGCTTTATCGCAAACACCACTCTCTTCAGCATTTTAAAGGTTCATTCTTAAAACCTGATTAACATAACTTGCCGTAGGCCCTCCATTTGTGCTCACAGTATTTGCGTTTACGTCACTGTTCTGCGGTATGGCTCCTAAGGGTAGCGAGTCTCAAAGGATATCGTTAATGCATATCATGTTACCTAAGTAATATTAGTGAGTACTCTATAAGGATGTCGTTATCTGTACCTTACTGCCGTCATTAAAAGATTTCCTTGTCTTTCCTCCCACGTATATTAAAATCTTAATTATGCGGAACGACTACTGGGCCTCATATGTCCGCTGGAGAACATCTGCATCATCCACATCGGCAAAAAATCCCTAATTGCGGTACATGAGGCAGTCCATGAAATCGCAATGTGCTTTGGGGACAATGTTTACGTAGTTCCTTGGTGTGAAAAAATTAACGTTAAATTGGAAGATCGTGCAGTCCTTGAAAGGAACTTGTCACTGCGCGTTGTAGTATTAAATAAATTTTACTGCCCATGAATGACTCCTGAAGATAAATCTCGAACCAGAACTGGGCTTGATGATGGTGACCAGATCCAAACTGGTCAATGCCACGTCCAAACAACGAAATAAGTATCGGATTCCAGAAGTCAATTTATGCTTCTCTGCACGTAAACCGTATCATCCTTAACTCAATTTCAGAGAGCTGTTCGTGCTATTTCGCAATAGGAACGCCTTCGTTCCAGAGATTTAACTCGCATTAACGGCCTTAATTAGTTTATGTATACGGACAGCTCAGTTAGTTTGCTCCCTTGATTACTTATAGCCGTGGCGACAGATTTTCATTATGCCACAGTATGCCCCATTATCGCCCTCATTCTTGCTGTTTATTCCACTAAACTCACGCTGGGAAGCTGCTGATTGTACCCTGTGCAAACATGAAATGTTTATGCTATTTGCACAAGGAAATTAGTCAAATATTGTTTAATTCATCAAGAACGGCAGTAAACAATATGAACGCCGTGCATCATACCAGTATCTTCAATAACCCCTCGTGGTGCCTGTTCAACACGATTGTATATACAAGCTAACTACACACCAGCGCTTACTAACCCAACACATGTCTCAATTTGCAATAATTTAGAATTCCACCTATGAGTGCCATCACACGAGTTTTGGGATTCGCTTTAAATGTCGGCATCATAATGCATGAATTCTCGAGTAAAGTAAAAAATATGTTTGTTTAACAACAATTTAATTGGAGCGAATAAACGAGCACTTATTTGATGATTTGTCTGCCAGTGTGCGTGCCGCCCTTGCATTTCAGTGCACATTCATCTCAGATAAACATCGAGTAGTACTGCATAAGTCACGAATATTGCTTAGGGCGATAGCGCCTCGACATCGAGTAGTTCACACAAAAATTACACGTCGCGCTTTCCGCATGAACTTTTAGCTCGAAGAGGCGACTGAGTGTGGTAATTAATTCAGAGACGACGACAACGACGAAATGTGACGGCACAGACACGCACAGACCGAGCATCCTCACTTGCTTTCATTCACCAGTTAAAGATGATTTCGTGGGTGTAGACGCCATACTGTACACATTTTTGTGGAACCCCCATTTCAGCAGGGTGTAGGGTTGACTAGTGATGTTGACTATTAGTTAATCCTTTTTAGTAACTGTTACCACCCAACATGACTGCGCAAAAAGTCCCAGTTGACGTCGCCCACGATCTACATTTGCACTTTCTGAGTCATCGAAATTGTATTTGTTCAATATTGCTGCCGAGGATGCTGCATCTGAAGCCTTCAATTCCACCAAGAATCGAAATAGGTCTTGAGTTTGCAAATTTTAGAATGATAATTATTAATTCTTGATCACCGGGTCTCTCATTCGAGTTGAACTCACACAGCACAAACAGTGGTCTCGCGAGGAAGAATGACGAATGTCTATCCAAGCAACTATTCCACGGCGATGTAGCTGCAGTTGCTCGCCGTTATACAAGGGCAAATGCGATGTTGCAAAACCATCTTCAGCTCTCTCAAACACGTACAAATCAACACAGCGACTCATTTTACGTTGCCTACGATCTACTTTTGCGCTCAATATATCACCGACATTTTATGAGTACTATGTTGTTGCTGACGACACTGCGCCTGAAGCCTTGATTTCTATCAAGAACCGGGGTCGGTCTTGGGTTTGGAACCTGCAAAATGAT